TCCCCACCTCGATGCATGCCCTCATCGTCTTTGGAGGGGAGGGGGGGGGGGGCAAAACAATACGCCTATACGGACAGATTATTACTCGGCAAACTAGTGAAAGCTGGCTGCCGTTGCCGCCTCCGTAGGTCTTCCCTGCTCCCGCATGTGTGTGTAGTGCGTGTGAGGAAGATGTCGCCTCCCTTTGGGGCTTCTGGTTGTGCAAAGGTCACGAGGGGCGTAAGTAGCCGGGGCAGGGCGTAGCGTAGTGGTGCGTCAGGTCTGCCCTGGTCGGTGCCGCAAGCAGGCGCACTCTCAACGTGTGGTATTCTGTCATTCTGTGCTTTTATGGGTACACCGTGCGGTGCAGTGCTATGTCAGGAGGCGCCGCCGACCAACCTACGGCGCAGATTGTGAGCGTTTGTGTCACTGGAGTGTTACGTAATGGCCTGTGATGGTGTTTTCGCTGCGGACCTGCTGACTCGGTCGGCCCCTACTCGGCCGGGCGGTGCGCTCCGTGCAGAGCTCCGCTTGCCCGCTCGCTTCCTGACGCACCAGCCTACCTGGGTCGGTCGGTGCAGCTGCACTCTCCGGGGCGCCCTGGAGGTAGGCAACCTCGGTCACGCTGGGCGGGGGTGCGGGCGGGTTGCCTACGCCCCGGCTGGTGGGCTGCAGCCCGCCGGGGCGCCATGGAGGTAGGCAACATCGGACGCGCTGGACGGGGGTGCGGGCGGGTTGCCTACGCCCCGTCCGTTAGGAGGCTGCAGCCGCGGCCGCTGGCTCGGCTCACCCCGTGGTTGCCAACGTGGCGGTTCTGTATCGGTCAGCAGAGAGGCTTTGACGCTCAATTAGCACTACCGTTATCGCCTCCCCGTATCGTACCGCGGACATCGGCGGGGCGGATCGGCCGCTATCGCGCGTGTATGGGGCGCGGCATGGCGTGGTGTGGCGGGTCGGGTCGGAAAAATATGTCAACTGTTGCGCGTCTCAGAATGATGATGATTAGGTGATGGTGGTGGAATTTTTTCCCCCGACAACTGAAGACTTTCCCATTCGCGACGCCCCTCGCCACATGTTGTAATGTTATGACTGTTAGAGACGACACGTTTTTATCCTCCGTTGTTCTCGGAATGGCTGGCGCGACGACGTCGTTGCGTCGTCGTCGACTTCAATTACTACACGTTTTCTACATGTTTTTGACACGGTATCGATATCTGTGGTGTTTGTCTGATATCCCAAGGCGCCGGCCGGGCCGCTATACACCTACTCGAGGCCAGAGAGGCATGGACCGCCGCGCAGCCGCGCTGCGAGGCACAAGTAAACAACATTCCAGCCGTTGGCCCGCTGCATTAATGCTCCTGCAGGCAATGTTTTCCAAGTACATTTCTCGATATATATGTGCAATAATTGACTTTGGCGGCAGCATAATGCTCCACAATATCATTGCGTTTGATGCCCCCTCCCCGTTCTCGGCGGCCCTCTGGTGACACTGCGCCGCCGTCGAGGCTATATAGCCGAGAGGTGCCTTCATGTGCCATTCATGAGCGCCCGAGAGAAAAAGAGTGAGCGGGAGTGAGACGGGCTGTGTAGGAAAAATAAGTCCGTTCCTCATGACTGTCTGTCTGTAGGGGCCGGGCCATAGGCTGCCCAACTCGGCCCGGCATCGCCCGTTTCAATCTGTGCCGGCGTTGCCATCCCGCTATTGCTGGGCCGCTGCTGACAATTTGGGGGACCCTGCTAATTGTTTGGGGAGGACACGTGTGTGTGTGTGTGTGTGTGTGTGTGTGTTTTCTTTTATCCTGTTCGGTAAAGTTGATTTTTAATTTTCTTTATTTCTCCATTTCAGGATTCGTAGCGTGCTCGGCCACCAACCCCATCTGGTTCGTCAAGACGAGGCTCCAGCTGGACTACAACGCTGACGGCCGCCCCATGACGGCCATGCAGGTGGTGCGGAGGGTGTATAGGAAGATGGTAAGTGGGCGTCGGCGTTGTCTTCCGTTGCTCCGCATGCGTTCAAAACCTGGCTAATTCCTTTTCTTTTTCAAAAATTGCAGGGAATCCGAGGCTTTTACAAGGGCATCACAGCATCCTACTTCGGTATATCGGAGACGGTAATTCACTTTGTCATCTACGAGGCTATCAAAGCGAAACTCTCCTCCGTTCGAGCGCCTTCGCCGAATGATTCGAAGACTTCCAGAGACTTCTTAGAGTTCATGCTGGCTGGCGCCGTCTCGAAGACCGTGGCGTCGTGCATCGCCTATCCACATGGTGAGTGAGCCCCGCCCCTCCCTTCCCCCTCAAATGAATACCCTCTGGAAACTTCTCTTCTCTTCATTTTAACTTTTGCGTTGTCGTAAATTTTTTGCCCGGATTTATCTAATCTGAGTGAGGTATCACCTTCCGCTTGTCAGTCCGGGGCCTGGGAACTGTTGGCCGTCGTGCCATCTCTAGTATCAGTTTTCCAAACCAGGCCTTTTGCGCAGCATACGCCCAGCTCATTCAGCTGAAGCCGGCTCGACCGGTGTTAGTTCCCCCGTCCGGCCGCCAGAGGCAGCACTCTGCAGCCAGGCCTGCGCCTTTCCTGCAGTCGCTTAGATGATTTTCCGCCAGGTGGCGCTGCTGCCAGAGCGGGCGCCAAATTCAAACTCTTTCTCTGTGACTTCTGTTATGTTCGCACGGTTTGCCGAAATGTGATGTGACCTTTGATTTCTTTTGTTGCAGAGGTTGCGCGTACACGGCTCAGGGAGGAGGGTACAAAGTACCGGTCATTCTTTCAGACGCTCAGTACAGTGATGGCAGAGGATGGATATCGAGGACTTTATAGAGGACTTTGGACCCAACTTGTTAGGCAGATTCCGAACACTGCAATCATGATGTCTACTTATGAGGCAGTAGTTTATGTCCTGACCCGTCATTTTGGGCAGCCAGAAGAAACCCAGTTTTACGATAATGATGAGGAAATTGAAGATGATGATCTAAGGCATAAATTGTAAATGAAGCTGTAGAACCGTTTCTAAATCAGTATTCTGTGCAATACATAAAGGTTTATGATATTATCTCTCTACACTGCATGAGCAAGACAGTATTTTTTTTTTTGATTTGATATAGAAATTGGTGCCTTAGCAAACAGTCTTGGTTTGAACATTTAATCTGAAATTTTGATGCCACTGATTTTGTTTTGAAGAATTTTTGATAAGTTTTATTTCAATGTAGCAACTAATTCATAGTCATGTTTAGATTGCTCTAATGTACCAGGATTTTTGATAAGTCCAGATAATGTTGATGATTGGTCACTTCCTTCTAGATCACACTTACTTAATTTTATGACAGTTTTACAATTCTATAACGATTTCCATTACACTAGTCTTGATTTTTCTCTTTTTTGCTATATCTATGTGGTTGTGCGACAGAAACATGAGTCTTTTCTGTTATTATTCTTTATAAGTCTTGCAAAATGAGAAAGGCTTTGAGGCTGTATTTAGACACAATTGTTGCTTGTAATATTGTGCTTGTTAAAACTCTCTAGTTACTTGTCATAAAAAAGAACTTTCATCTTTTTTTCTTTCTCATTTCTTGGTGGGAATTGCAAACATAGAAAGCTGCATTTTTAACTGCCAAACCAAAGCCTCAAAGCTTTTGGCTACAATTTGTGCTGTGTCTGCGGCTGTTGAGAGGTCAAGTTTTAGGTTGTTTTATCATATTTAGGCCTCAGCTTAATTTTCCCATTATTTTAGCTGTTGTAGTAGTTTATAAGTTTATTTCATAGATGTTGAGAAGGAAGGGTAATTTGTAACAACATATTATAAGACTGAAGCTAGAGCTAGGGTTTTGCTTTCTTGTGAGCAGCTCAAGGAGCTCAAATTTCTTCATTTTCCTTTCTATTATTGTGTAATACATAAACCTGTGGTAAGAATGTGATATCTTTGACCTGAAGAGCAATCAGAGTTTTATTGTAATGTTGGTTGGGTGTCATTGTTTTGTCCTCCATCTGTTAAGATTTTTTTTTTCCGAACCATAGTACATATATATTTATACCAAGATGTTCATGTTCAAGATTTATAAGTATTTATATACGCATTGGCAAATGGTTGCCAATGTTAACTTGTATAACAAAATCATACATTTTTGTTGTTTTACCGTCTAACTTTAATCCATTCAGAGCTGATGTACATGTATAGTACATGTCTGTAGTTGAAGCATGGAACTTGCCTAAAGAAAAGGCTTATTTGTGAACAGTCCAGCATCTTAACTGTGTACTGTTAATGTACGCAGAATCATAACTTTTAATAGCCTCAAATGTTTTTCTGGTGGCTGAAACCTTTTTATTGCTGTGATAAATCCCAGTCTTTGTCCAACATAAAGGAATAAAAGAAAATGAAAATCTACTACTTTTTTTGATTGCTTTTTCTGTTACTGAAGAATTGTTTGTTTTTTTGTATCTTAACAAATAGTAAACTCAGTTCAAGATTGCAAAATTTTAGTTTGTTTGAATTATTCAATCCAGTCTGTTGCTTGATCTTGCAATGAACTATGATGCTTTTCTCTATTTGTCTATGAATTCCAATGCATTCAGTGAAGCATGTGCAGTACATATTGTTTCAATGCACAATCAGCAATAACTATGATAACTGACAGCTCTGATGGAACCATACCAAATACTTTCTTTGTATCTGAATCACGGTAATTGGTGCCCTATTAGAATTTTTGAAGTAGCGATGATAAATTTTTTTATCTGAGTTTTAAGATGGTTGTATTTTAATTTGTAGATACTGCTCTAATAAATTGATGAAAACATAAATGTTCTCTACTGGTATATCCGTAGTTCTTGTTTTGCAGACAAACACAAGGAAACAGCACAACGTCAACTATTTCCACTGATAAAATTTATTTACAACACATACATATTTATTTACAATTCATATAAATACCACAACAAATATGACTTAAGGTCCTTCCACTCTTAAAATTAATATCATGACATTGATCACTATTGTCCAGTTGAGTAATGGTTCAGGAATCTATTATAAAATCAAGGCTGTGCAGCATAGCATAGCATATTACGCTACTACTAGTACTACAAATAAAATATGACCAACAGCAGTTATGAGAATGAATGGGATAGTAGTGGTAGTACATAAAATCTTCATCTATATCCACTACAACAAATTAAAAATATGATCAACTGCAGTTATGAGAATGATTGGGATGGTAGTGGTAGTACATAAAATCTTTATCTATATCCACTGGTTCACATTTAGTCCAGTACCACATTTTGTGCAACGTCTTTATAGGGCTTTTTAAGCCTTTGTCATTAGTAAGAGAGTTACCTTTTCTTTTTACAAACAAATCTAAACATTAAAATTGATCAACATGTCCTAGAATTAATATACTGGATTTTTATCAGCATGAATTTCATTGCACGCTGTTTTATTTGGCATGGATAGATGCCAGTAAAAATAACCTTTTAAAAATCAGAAGAATATGAACAAACTCCCACTGCAGTAAGAGTTTCCAAAGACGCAGACGAACTTTAACAACTACCATTTCAATTTCGAATGGCAAATAAAATGTGACTAGCTTTCTTTCTCATATGTAAACAATTTTTTTTAGAAAATTGATCTGAGGCGTCAGTAGGACGGGTGGGTTCAGTTATTGTTGTTGTTTACCGCAACCATGCGGGGACCTCCGTTCTGGAACATGGCCGCCTTCTCCTTAAACTCTAGTCTACGTCGCTCCCGCTCCTCCTCTTCCCTCTGCTTCCTCTCTTTCTCGCGTCGAATTTCATCCTCGAATAACGACCCGCGACGCAGCTGCTCGATCTGGAATAAGAGAACAAGAGGCATAACTAGGAAGGTCATTATTGCCATCTCTTTATCTGCACCCAGCTCTACAGGGAAGCTGCGGGCGAGACATCGAAGTGCGCCCGCCGTAGCGCCCGCGCTATAGGCAGCCCATTCGACGCCCCAGTGGAGTGTGCAGCCGGACTGTCGCACCTTAGCCTCGAAGAAGTTCTTGGCGCCGTATACGCCGACCTCCTCCACGTTGATCTCGGTGAGGACGGCAAGCCGCTTGAGGGACTCCTCGTTCAGCTCGCCGGCGCGCGCCTTCCGGTAGATCATGAGAAACTGCGGCAAACAGAGACAGCGTAAATCAAATGTCGTCCAGGGCGACGAAACCATGGAAATGATTGTGATACGCACGCGTACCCTACACTCACCTCCTTGAACGAGATCTTGCCGTCCTGGTCCTCGTCCACCTCCTGGATCATCTTCTTGAGGCCCAGGTGAGTCTGCGGCGCGCCGAGACGCTCCATCATCAGCTTCATCTCGAGCAGGTCCAGGAAGCCGTCGCCGCCGAGGTCAAACCTGCAAATCAGCAACCAGACAGTCATGTGTTAGAATTTTGTGGTCGAAGTATGAGCAGGAGGTCCACACTGAGGTGTTGATGCTCCCTCAGCCCCTCGGGCGCGCGCTCACGGCACCGCACGCTTTTAATTGCCGCCCCGCCCCGCCCACTTCCACCTGGCCGACAGGACCGGCAGGCAGCGGAGGAGGGCATTCCGAGGCTCGGCTCGCGCCTGCTCGCGCCGCACGCCGGGCCGGGCCGCTTGGCCCAGGTCAGGAAACGAGCCTTGTGCGGACCAGACAATGAATTACTCTTACTTCACTCTAATAGTGCGTCCAGAGTTACGTCAACCAAACTGGAGTAGCTGCTGCAGCACGCCCCGTGGCTCCAGGCTCCGGCCGCAGCGGAAGGCGTGCGGCGCTTGCGGCCAGCAGCAGCGTGCGCTGCAGCAAGTGCCCTAGGGCCCAATCGGGTCAGTAAACGCGAAGAAAAGGGGAGCCGCGGCGCCGACACACAATCCCCCGCAGCGGAGCACGAACACAAACCCGACGGGACGCGAGCCGGAGAGACCACCCCCGTTACTCTAGGCCGTGTTAGCCGCCCCTAGTGTGGTTGGGACCAGAGAGGCAAAGACTAATTTCGGTAAAAAAATAGAATATCTTGAACGCTATTTCCATCAAATTTGTGGGTGAGGAATGCGTCTACCATGCAAGCCAGTGCCAGTGTTTGCACTTAGCATGCAACTTTAAATTAACATTTAATATCCTAGACAATTGAGTGTCTCTTTCCCTTTTTAAACAGTCCAAGACTGTCTACCCCCTTTTACGTACATTTTTACGCATTTTTACACTTTTAACGTTGACGAAATAAGAAGGTTTTGCCGTTCAGGAACATAATATTCGCCGTATGACGGGCTTCGCAGTTACAGAACAGACGCTGCTCGCAAGCGTGCTCGCCTCAGGCTGGCGGTCAGCGGTGTGTGGCCGGGTCCGGGTGTCCGGGTCAGAGCCGACCTCACGTGCACCTCGGGCGCCAGGCGCCTCTGGCCCGCGGCACGTGTCACAGCGGAGCCGAAAGTGCCGGAAGCGGAAGACGCACGCGGCGCCACCGGAGGCGCCACGCCGGCTGGTCAACTCAAACAGCAAACCAGGCAGTAAAAATTATAGAAGTAATAAAGACGGAGGTGCGGGGAATGCCTGGTAAAACAGCGAGAAAAATGAGCGACGCGGAGAGAGAGAATGTCTCGCTGAAAGTCTTTGCGCGCGCAGCCCTTTTATTGTTATTCTTGTTGTTCGCCTCCAAACGACTTGTTGGCGTTGGCTGTGGGACCCTCTCCCGTCCTGCCCTACCGAGAGCGAGAGTAATAGAGTCTGGCTGCAGCTGGAGCCGGCTGGAGCGGGCTCTATACTCTGTTTCACCCAAAGAATAGACTCAGGTAGGGCTCATCTCGGTCTGGCCTGGCCCGCCCGGAGCCGACCCTCGCCAGCTACCCGGCTCTGGTGTCACATGTGGCCCGCCCCCGCACAGCGGGCAGCGGTGGCGTGGCGTGGCGGAACCAAATGGAGCGCCTGACTGAGGCCAACCAAGGTTGCAATTGGCGTTCAAGTACTCGTTGAATTTGCAAACAAGTGCCGGATTTGATGGGGCAACCCCCTTTCGCTGGCGGCCAATGTCCGGATATTGCATTTTAATCCAATGCCAAATCACCACCGCAATTAAGAATTCCTCAAAATAACCGTACAACTTTCTGCTCTTTTTTACACCTACGGTTTGTGGGGTCAACTTTATCAAATCCGGCACTTCTTTGCAAAGTCAACGAGTACTTGAACGCCAATTGCAACCTTGGTTGGCCTCAGTCAGGCGCTCCATTTGGTTCCGCCACGCCACGCCACCGCTGCCCGCTGTGCGGGGGCGGGCCACATGTGACACCAGAGCCGGGTAGCTGGCGAGGGTCGGGCCCCGGCCGGGCCAGGCCAGACCGAGATGAGCCCTACCTGAGTCTATTCTTTGGGTGAAACAGAGTATAGAGCGAGCGGGCCGCCGCCGGGGCCCCAGACGCGTGCGAGCGTTTGGCGTTTAGAGCGGAGCCGAGCGGTGGGGCGGGGCCGGGCCGGGCGGGCCATGACCCGGGACTACATACAGCACAAGCAACACCATCCGCTCCGACATTTGCCCCACAACAACAGCAGCAAGAGCGCGAGAAAGAACCTTCATGAGACTTAACTGCTCTGCGGGCGGACGACTGCATCGCAAGCACAAGGGGGAAAATTTAGGGCAGTATATACAGAAAGGCACTTCGGAATTTTTTCCCTCCTTTCGCAGACTGCGTAAAGGTAGGCAAGCACCGCATTATCCAATTTCGCCTTTTCCACCTGCTGAGCCATTTAACTGTAGGGCTCGAGCTTGCGAACGCCGGGGAATGAGGGCACGCCAAAAAAACCCAGCAACAGCACACACATACACAGAGACTACTTACACCCGTGCAAAAACTCCGCCGCCCAGAACACATTACACATACAACACGCACCGCTACGCCGGCCACGCCCACCTCGGCGTGGGCCGCACGCGTGACCGCGACCTCCCGAGCAGGCGTAGCCGGAGCAGGCAGCCGGGCCAATCACACAGCCATATGAGCCGCATCCAACTCGGGCAATTAAAACTGAGCATCAGCCGGGAGCAGGCGTGCGAGACACGTGTTTGCCCAGTGGTAATGGCGAGGGGCTGAGCGCTTCGCACACGGGGAGGAGAGGAGGGACGGAGATCAACATTTTACTAATAACACGGTATTTGCACCTTTCCTCGCGCGACCTTAAAAGGAGGAAGGAGAGGCGGACGCCGGGCCAGGCCTAATCGGGCCGCATTACGTTACGTAAAAATAAAGTAAAGCTTTCTGGAGAACAAGCTGCAGCGGCGCCGCGCTGGAGTGGAGGGGAAATGAGGCGTGACAGCTGCTGGGGCTGGAGCCGTGGCTGGAGAGCTTGGCGGACAACACCAGGGGGTTGGGGCAGGAAACGCCCTCCTCGCGACCACGGCGCGCCGCCCGCTGGCTGACGCTGACCGGGGTCCAAAACGTTCTCCTCCGCGAGGCGCGGGCGGGCGGGCGGCGTGTATGCGTTCCAGGTGGCTGCACGGTGGCAAAAGGAAGGGCGGGGCGAGGGGCTCCAGCGGGCTGGAGGGGCCAGAGAGAGAGAGAAAGACGAAAACACGAGCATGGCCACGCCACGCCCCGGCCTGCAGCAGGACCCACCTCACTCACACCCGGCCGCAAATAACAAGCAACCGTTAGTCACAGAGCTGCCAAGTGGAGCGGGCAGCGCGCGGGCAGCCCGAGCCTTTGGGCAGCGGAGGCCCCGCCGCGGGGCGCCTCCCGGGGGCGCCACCATGGAGAGACACACGCTGTGCACGCCGACCACAACGCAACGACGGATTGCAGTTTTACGTACTTTCACCGCAAAACGTACAGCGGGTTGCCTACGGCGGCCCTGCCCTGTACTGCAGACGGCAGCCGCCACCATTACCGCCGTTATCGCCGACAGCAGAGTGTGCATTGCACACAACAGCAGCGCGGCGGACCGATTCCCTGCGGCCAATCTGGCCGCTAGATGTAGGTAAACAGAAGTGGGCATGCAGGCGGGCGCCGCCGCGCCGCGCCACGCCACGCGCCCCGATCCCGATGGAGTGCGACACGGTCGGTTGAAAGTGGGCACGGCCGTGCGAGGAATGCAAACCGAGCGCGCGCGAGCGTGCCGCCTACATTTCGGCCCCTCTATACCCGCTCGCCTGCCACTGCTCCGGCGCGCCTTGCCTGTTCCTCATCCATTCATTCAGTTGCTCGTATCTCGCAGCCTTGATCCAATAAGCGGCGGAGATCATCGACACGGTACGCAACTCGATCGCGGCGTGGCGTGGCGTTTCTCATGCGGAGGGCGAGGGCGGGGGCGGGGCTGGGCGGGGGCGACACTTCGGCAGGGACGTGCGAAGCCGCGGGCACTTTCGCTGTCATACGGGACACGTGTCGGGCCGCGGGCGGGCCGAGGTGCGGCCGCGCCCAGCCCTGCGCAGCGAGCGCTGCAGCGCTAAGTGAAGCCAAACGGCAGCTTTATTCTAAAGCATCGCGATGCGCTTTCTCCAGCAGCAGCAGCCGCGGCGTTATTTTTCAAACGGCGCAACGAACGGCCGCGGACAGACAAGCCCGCCGGAGTCTCTAACAGTCAAGTCCACGGCAGCGCAAGAGCGCAAAGTCAAAAGGTTGCCCTCTCCTAGTGCCTCGGCACAATCTCAGCCGCCAGGGACGGCGCCGCCGCGGGGCGCTCAGCTCCAGTTAGAGTGTTGCCACATCATGAGGTCCTTTGGAACATCCTCCCCATCTCTCCAGCGCTCTGCGGCCCGCAAAGGCTCCTTCGCCCCCGAGGCCCGAGGCACCGCGGGGCACCGTAGCGGTCGGCCAAAGGGCAGACCCGCGACGCCACGCCACGCCGGGCCACTTGCCGTGTCGTAGTCATGACGCGCACCCCGCCAGTCCTTGATCCCCAAGGTCGCCCGGCCCGGCCGGCTGGTTGGTAGGTGGGCTGTGCTGGGCTGTGCTGGCCTGGCCTGGTTGAAGCCGAATCACTCATTGACCGGCAATGTGCGCCAACCGCGAGCCCCGGCCCCGCCCCAGTACCGCCGCCGTGCTCCGAGACAAAGGCCCCCATTCAGCAGCCACACGAGGACACTCAGCCGCCGCTCCAGGGAGAGCAGTGGATTAATCCTCGTCCCGCCCTGCCAGCCGCAGCGCTGGAGGCTCCAGCAGCCCCGAGGGGCGCGGCGCGTTGTCCACACCACACGTTGCCGCCGGCCGTAAGCCGCCTTGTCAGAGTCCAAAGCCGAGCCTCGGCCGACAATTTTCTCCCCCCGTTACGTTAAGGCGATGCTGCTGCGCGGAGCAGTTAGCTACGAGGCGCTAACGCCCATTCGTCAGAGCTCTCCAGTGCAAGAGCGACACTCATTGTGCGCCGGCACAGCTTGGCGCGCAGCTGCC